GTGTGTGACTGTCTTCCTGTGTGTGTGTGTGTGACTGCCTATGTGCGACTGTCTGGGCAGACTAGATGGGCAAAATGGTTCTTATCTGCCGTCGCATTCTATGTTTCTATGTCTGCCTGTGTGTGTGTGTGTGTGTGTGTGCGTGTCTGTCTGCCTGTGTGTTTGAGTGTGTGTGGCTGTCTGCCTGTGTGTTTGTGTGTGGCTGTCTGCCTCTGTGTTTGTGTGTGGCTGTGTGTTTGTGTGTGGCTGTCTGCCTGTGTGTTTGTGTGTGGCTGTCTGCCTATGTGTTTGTGTGTGGCTCTCTGCCTGTGTGTTTGTGTGTGGTTCTCTGCGTGTGTGGCTGTCTGCTTGTGTGTTTGTGTGTGGCTGTCTGCCTCTGTGTGTGTGACTGCCTGTGTGTGACTGTCTGGGCAGACTAGATGGGCCGAATGCTTCTTTTCTGCCGTCACATTCTATGTTTCTATGTCTGTGTGTGTATGTGTGGCTGTCTTCATGTGTGTGTGTGACAGGGTGTGCTGGAATGGGATTTGAGAAGGGGGTGGGGCGCTGTGAAGATTTTTCACACAGGGCGCCCAAAGGCCTAAGGCCGGCCCTGCTAAGAGCAACCTAAAACATGACACACTGGAGAGGTCAGTTAACCAATGGCACACTCCACATAGGCAGATATGTTTTTGAAATCTTTGGGGGTCAGAGACACAGCTGTGGCTGGGTATCTATTAGGGATAAAATGCCAGAGTGGGAACTTGCAGAACTGCTACTAGGAACATATTGGAAAATAGCAGACATCTTATTTAAAAATCATGCACATAATAACCCCAAACAAGAAACATACATAGTGTGCCACAGAAGACAGAATTAGGGGAGCTTAGCAATAGTTTTATGGGTATCCCTTATGGCAACATATGGCAGGCAAATTGGTAGGCTGGCATTTAGAAGTTAAAAGCACTGTGAGGACTGCAGAAAACACAGTAACAGTGCAGGGAAAGCAGGATATGCAGGCAAAGCTAGCCATGGCTGCTAAGATGCAATGAGGAGTGAGTGGAGCAGCAGCTGTATAGGAAGGAGGTACATGCAGACTAAAGACTCAACTGGCATGCAAGTAACAGCTATTACTAAATAGTACACTGCACTTAAAGGGTACATGTCCAATTACAAATCCAGTTTGGTAATTAGGAGTTGAACAAGGTAACAAATACTCACATATACTGGATAACTCACCACTCCAGGGCTACCAAGAGACACATGACCAGCAACGATGTACCTACAGGCCAAATCTTATGAATAGTCACCAATGTAGCTGCTTAGTAGGCACTACACTTCAGAGTAAGCTCTCAGGATGCTTCTCCTCGCTCTTCTAATCAATATGGAAGAACCCACAGAGAGACTGCACAATGACAATGACAGAAACCACTAAACCTGGGAGGGTAAAGATGGTAATATCAACTAAACTTTTTCAATTTGTTTTTTTTCCTGAATAATACTTACTTTATTTCTGAGTCTGAAAGACATATTTTTGATTTGGAAGTAATGGGAGACATTGGTAATTCTGCATTATTTCTTTCATTAGCTGCGTTCATGACACTAATATGTAATACCCTGTCTTAAAAAAAAAATTAAAAAAATGAGTAAGGATGAAAACGGCAAATGTAAATGATTTGATGTACCTAAAAAAACAGCAAACTGCAGTGAATTATAAATAAAACTGCAAAACACAGGCATTGTCCGGCATGGAAAATAATGAAATAAAGCCACTCCTACAAAATAATCTTAAAAGGACACTTCAAGCACCAAAACGATATCAGCACGGTTTAGTGGCTATGGTGCCATCAGTACCTGGAAGCTGTCAAAATCAACAGTTTCATATTTTTACCAAAAGTTTCATACTTGTCTTGCTGAGTTAGAGGAATACAGTCCTACTGGTCTAAACTGATATGACAAGCCAGAAATGCATGCTTCCACATTATCACATGAAACTATGACATCATTCATATGCTGAGAGTGACAGATGGATGCTCTCAGAAAATAAATACTACCATACTAACATATAAACATGTTTCTTCATTAAGTGTTCTTGCATAGCAAGACCACTTAATGTTATCTCACATATATATTATTATTAAGTGTTCTTGCATAGCAAGACCACTTAATGTTATCTCACATATATATTATTATTAAGTGTTCTTGCATAGCAAGACCACTTTCTTAATGTTATCTCACATATATATTATTATTATTATTCCCATATTATTATAGCAAAATTTGCCACCCTAACTCCTCCTCCCACAGTTTTACACTGGCTATAGACAAAATTTACCAAAATGTGCAGATTGTTCTCGTGATCATTTGCTATTACTGTGGAACGCCGTAATGGTTCACGGAATATCGCCGTTTTGTGTGGCGAAATTAGTCCCATAGGAATGAATGGCAAAGCTAGAGTGGGAGCTGGCAAAAGCTGAAAAAATCAGGACATGATTTCTAAACTGCCACCACTCCCTTATTTTCAGGCCCACCTACACAAATCTTATATCAAAACGTTCAGCTATCCCTGCTGCCACTAAACATGTAAACGGCTAAGCCGTAGTCCTGATAGTTTTCACAATATGACTATTTGTTTGCAACCAACGCCGTCCATTGACATTCATTGAAACTTCACTCTGCAAAGCTCAAATTTGAAGTGCAATTTCTAAACTGCGACTGTGCCTTCATTTTTAATACTTCAGAGACATACTACGCATCAAAATGTAGGTCTGGGTCTTGTGATTCTCACAATATAAAGCTCTTCACCGTAGGAGTTATAGTTTTTAAGATACGACCGTTTGAAGATGGCAACCACCAAAATACTCTGACCTGTGTCAAGCTGCAGCAGCAAGTGATGTCATAGACAGGGCCTTTTGAACACCTGCTAATGTTTTTTATAAATGTATGGTTTAATGTAACTGTGCAACAACGTTGCAATTAAATGTGCTATATAAATGATAACAGTTACTCCGCCCACTCCAGTTGTAGACTACCGGTGGAGGCAAGAACACTTCACACAATTTCCCCAGAAATTGTAGCCTTTCTAGTTATTATTATTATTATTATAGCAAAATTTGCCACCCTAACTCCTCCCACAGTTTTTACACTACATAGACCAAAATTTACCAAAACGTGCAGATTGTTCCCGATCGGATTGCTATTACTTTGTGGAATGTTCCGCCGAATGGTTCACGGAATATCGTCGTTTATGTGCCGCAATTTGTCCCATAGGAATGAATGGCAAAGCTAGAGTGGGAGCTGCCAAAAGCTGAAAAATCAGGACATGATTTCCAAACTGCCACCACTCCCTCATTTTCAAGCACACCTACACAAATCTTATATCAAAACGTTCAGCTATCCCTGCTGCCACTAAACATGTCAACGGCTAAGCCGTAGTCCTGATAGTTTTCACAATATGACCATTTGTTTGCAACCAACGCCGTCCATTGACATTTATTGAAACTTCACTCTGCAAAGCTCAAATTTGAAGTGCACTTTCTAAACTGCGGCTGTGCCTTCAATTTTAATACTTCAGAGACATACTATGCATCAAAATGTAGGTCTGGGTCTTGTGATTCTCACAATATAAAGCTCTTCACTGTAGGAGTTATAGTTATTAAGATACGACCGTTTGAAGATGGCAACCACCAAAATACTCTGACCTGTGTCAAGCTGCAGCAGCAAGT